GATGAGTCAAGTACCTTTTGCTTTGTGGATTCAGGGCCTTCATCTCAAAGCGAACCTTTGTCCTATTGCCCTGGTCATACCTTTGTTGTTGTTAAAATTTCTTTTTCTATTATAAATTAATTCAGTTTACATTTCAGATCCTTTGGCTGTCACTTTTTAAAAGAGCAATTTGTAATGGTGGAAAAGACGTAGATCGCAAAGCATGTGTGATTTCAACTTCCTTCACACAGTAGAATTCATTAACATCTATTCAGTCCTTCTTTAACCATTACCCTTAACTCTTAGCAGATTTTTCCATCATAAAAGCGCACTGTCCCCTCATCAGTTTTATACCACAGATAAGTGTTGCTTGCTCAAATATTTTCACCCTTTCACCATATGAACAGTTTATATATATACGAGCTTGGAATTATATCAACACCATCTAGAGCAGGGGTTCTCAACCTTCCAAATGCCACGACCCTTTCATACAGTTCCTCATGTTGTGGTGAACCCCCAACCATAACATTATTTTCGTTGCTACTTCATAACTGTAATTTTGCTACTGTTATTAATCAAGTGACCCCTGGGTCAAAGGGGTCGGAGCCCACAGGTTGAGAATCACTGATCTAGAGGAAATCTTGAACTGTGGCTGAGCCTTGCCTTATTCTTAGCATGACTTAGGTGGTCATCTGTTACTGTGTTTTGCTATTACATAAACAAGTATTGTACATTCATGTACAACAACACAGACATGTGTCTCAAAGAAAATCTGTTTTAAAAAGCACACGGCAATCCCAAACCCATCCATGTCTGTTCTTCCTCTAGAAATGTGCTGCTTCTATTTACAGATCTTCTTAGCAGCTTCGCAGAGGGGTGTAGTTGCTAAGGATTCCTGGGGCCTGAGTTCAGAGAGCACCCTTTACCATGATTTAATTGGAGAAGAAGTCGTGGATATAGTCATAATGGGGCTTTAGGGCATGAAGCAGTGACATTTTCCACCATTCCAAAGCAGGAGAAATTTGACATCCTAACCATTTTCTTTTTTTTTTTTTTCATCCTAACCATTTTCTAATCCTCTTACATTGGGAGCATTCTTCAAATGCAACAAAATCACGTTGTTCTGCAGGTGAAGGTCACCAGGGCATCAGAAACCAGCGAAAAGAAGGTGGCATGGTCTAGTTGCCCTTGAACTTTTGTTTCTCCAATGGGCTTCCTGCAGTTGTGTTAATTGACTGCTCTCTGCAGTGAACCTTTTTTCTTTTCTTCATTTGTGGGTGGGGTGGGGTATACAAATCAATCTCTTGGAATGTTGCGCGGTGAAATCTTAGGCCTTTATCTAGAGTGTTTTAAAAAGCCACCCACAAGTCCAGTTTTCTGGTGAACAGGGTGATTTTTGTCCGGCATCGTTGTATGTGCAGACTGGTCTGCGAAGCACAGTCCAGAGCCCCTTCCTTTCTCCAGGTGGCTTTATCTCTGCCATGCTCCTCCCTGCCGGGGGGGTGGGGGTGGGTGGGGGCGGGGGGTGGACGTGGGTGGGGGGGAGATAACTGACTGACTGGAGATCTGGCTGTATGAAGAACTTCTTTCCTAATGGACAGAGAGCCTATCGCGACCTTTTGCTTGTTTGCTGGACAGAATATGGTGTGTAGCTCCATGCCTGAAGCTCAGAGGAAGTCTGCCTGTGGGCATTCGGGGCGTGACGCAGACTAACTGAGAAGGGCCCAATGTCATCTCCACGAAGCAGGCTTAAATACCACCACCGCACCCCAGACTTCTCCTCCCTTAGCAGGTGTTCCAAACTAGCCAGGCCTCACCTGTGCTTCACTTAATAATTAGCTCGAAGTCCCCACGTGTCCGATTTCTATGCTCTTTTGAAAGAGGAAGTGCTCAGCATGTCCACTCAGATGTGGAACCCGAAGTGTGAGTGGAGAAAACCAGGTCGCCAGGGAGTCAGCCCTGCCTCGTGGAGGCACCGTGTGTGTCTGTAGAACTTGGGGAAGTAAATCACCAAGAATTTGTTCTGAGTTGTCTCTGGGTGGACTTGAACCTCCAACCTTTCTGGTACCATTCATTGGGCACATGAACTGTTGCAGACAGGGCCAGTGCGCAGCACTCTGAGGAGAAGTCTTGGGTAGCTCTTATGTCTGTCTACAGGTCAAGTAAAGGCCATTTGTTCCCACAACGGAGTGCAGTGGCGGAGAGAACAGCAAGCAGCCCCTGCATGTGTGCAGCGCGCGCGCGCGCACGCCACACTTTCCGTCACTTCACTGTTCTGAACCTTTGGGTTTGGAAAGTTGAAGAGGGTCATTCTCCTTACCGGCCCTTATCTGAAACATCAGGGAAAAGATGTGTTACAGCATTCAGGTGGAAGTGGGCCACATTTTCCAGAGGTGACAGTACCATGTGGACCCTATATTATTGTTGTTCCCAGGGGGATTTGGGACAACAGCCTGCAATCAAACAAAATAATGGTTTTGAACCAAAAAAAAAAAAAAAGGGAATCTTCATACACCAAACCCACTGCCAACTCATAGCCACTGATAGGACAGTAGACATGCCCCTTGCATTTCTGGGTTCATAGGTCTTCATGGGAGCAAAAGTCTCATCTTAGTCTTAGGAACAACTTACGGAACTGAGCTGAGCCCACTGTGCACCCGGGCTCCTGAATGTTCATGCAGGAGCCACTCAATACTCAGTATCGCCAGCGTCATTTCACATTTTGCTGCCACGTGTGTTGCTTGACTTCCGGTTTCTAGTTTTAACCTTGAGATTTGCAAATGAGGGTTGTGGTGAAGCATTCGTTGTAGGAATAGAAGCAGAGCAAGACCAGTCTGACCGAAACCTGGCGATACTTAACTAGCATTGATATCACAAGACGAACAACAGGCTGGCTTGTGCCCGTCCCTGCTGGACCCATTACTTTCTGTTTCCTTCTTTGTTTCCTCACCTGTAGAACAAGGTAGTGTGTTCGCCTTATGGACTAACATGACGGTGACTCCCTTACCGTCATCGACTCCATGCTGACTCCCAGAAAGCCCCGTCTTTCTCCTGCAGAGCTGCTGGTGCTGGGCTCGCTGACCGTGCAGACCACAGCCCAGCGTGGACCCACTCCTGGACCCACGCCACCGGCAGAGCTGCAGAGCATGATGAGATGCAGGATAGCCCAGGTTAACCGCAGCACAGCCGTGGGCATTTAGTTGGTATTTGGTGGATAGGCTCACTCACTCGCGGCTGCCCAGACGATTCTAACTCCTAGGAATCCCTTAGGACAAGATAGAATAGCCTCTTTGGGTTTCCAAACTGTAAATCTTTATGGGAGCAGGAAGCCTCATCTTTTTCTCGAGGATCTGCTGGTGGGTTCGAACTGCCAGCCTTGTGGTCAGCAGCCCAATTCACAGCACACCTCACTGCCAGGGCTCCTCAGTAGATGTTATCAGTTATCATTCAGCCTCCCTGCCTCCTTTCTTTTTATGAGATGACAATTTACGGATATAGCGGTTGCAAAGCCACCCTGGAAAACACCGTTCGGTGACACTCTGGTCCTGTAAGACCTCAGTAACTCAGAGCCCACTGGCCAGCCGGGGGTTTCTAGTGTGGGATTGATGAAACCAACTTCATTGAAGAGTTAAAAGTACTCCCTTAAAACTGTTGCAGAATAACGAGGTCTTTCTGAGAATGAATACGTGGTTTCATTAGTATTTAGATAGCTGCAAACTAATACTTAGATCTCTCGCATGCTTCTTGTTCACTGGATACAGGAAAGGGTAGCCGCAGTCCAACGATTTGCCATTCTAAAACCCTGTGCAAAGGACCCATCCATCTACCCAACTTTAGGGAAAACGTTGCTTGGAAAAAGGTTTTGTGGCCACATTGTTGGCAATTCTGGTATTCTAACAAAGATGTAATCATGACTTATAGTTTAATATATTGGAAAACTGATATTGGGAGGTAGAGCTTTTCTAGTTTCCCCCCCCCCAAACGAATGGACTTTTTAGTGTAAATGCTCATTTTCCATTTCTTTTTTCGAAGTGGACCCCTGCTTTTAAATGTATTAAGTCCTGGCCCACCCCTCACGCCCTTTATGAAGGAGATCATTGAAAAAGTATTGCCTTTTATTGTAAGGCTGTTTTGAGTTGCTTCATTTTGTATTTTATAATCCATCAAGAAATTTTCTAAAGTATCAAAATCTGTTCTAATGAAGAGACAATTTTCTTTTTTCCCTTTTCTCTGGATTCATGACGATGCCAACTCTGTCCTCCAACTCTGTCCTCCGGGGTCTGTCTCGCTCTCTGAATTCATGGGGATAGCAATTTACTTCTCTGCGTGTGTGTTTACACTTTATTATCATGAATTAGGTGGGGCTTACATTTTAGATCATAAGTTTTGTATTTAACAACTTAAACAGTTTATCTAACCTCCCAATAGCTGCCCTGCCTCCCCTCTGTGTCCCCTTTCTCCCTTTTATAGGCTGTCATTTCCCCCTTCACCCAGTTAACACCTGTCCAGCCAGCCCTTCCCCGGCCCCTCCCGGCCCATAGGCTTCCCAACGGATTTGGCTTAGTGTTGCCGTCTTTTCAGAATGGAATTACTCAGTGCTCCTACCGACCCCCGCAATTAAAAACCTTTGTGTAATCACTCAGAATCCAGGATAAAGTCTAGGTAGATATCCGCTTTTGCAGCACCCCCAGGATCCTTCCAGCACCCCCCCCCCCCGTGGGTAGATTCACCCACTTTGGGTAACATTTCTTTAGCCTGTTTCTTCCCCTTCCCTCACACCCCAATAGCCATCAAAGCTTATTTCTCTTGGCATGAGAGCCCTTATCTTTTTTCCTTTCTTTTATAATCCATTGCATTTTTTGAATGCCCGGCAGCAGCAATGAAACAAGCTATCAGGAGAGGAAAGATGCACCCCATTGTCAGTTATTTTCTGGGCATGTGCCCGACAGGACTCAGTAGCCCTGAAGTGTCACACAGCCGACCTGCCTACACTCACATGCCTCTCCTTTCCCGCTCCACAGCTGAACTATCAGCAGAAGGTCGGCATCATGTACTGCAGAGCCGGGCAGAGCACCGAGGAGGAGATGTACAACAACGAATCCGCCAGCTCAGCCTTTGAGGAGTTCCTGCAGCTGCTGGGGGAACGCATTCGACTCAAAGGCTTCGAGAAATACCGGGCCCAGCTCGACACCAAGAGTAAGGACACACTGACACCCCCTCCTCCTCGCTTCTTTTCCTCCTGCCAGGTTGCCCGGACAGCAGCTTGAAGAGTGCTGGTGTTACTCGAGAGCAAGTCAGAGAGGGCGACGGATGGCCCAAGCAAGAACAATTGATGATCAGAATCAAAGTTGCTAGGATTGAACTGCAAAAATAATCATGTTGTCAGAAGTGTGGCTGGAATAGAGCCATGAAGGGAAACCTTGCGGAGTTGCTCCTGGATTGGTAGAATGTAACTTCATTAAACGTAGCTGAGTGTTGGGGTAATTAAAAACTTCAGACTCTTATGACCACCTAGTTATAGCCTCTATAATTAAAAAAGGAATCATTTTCTTGGCATATGCTTCACATATCATACAGTATAGTCATTCAGTTGTTAAGGAAGACTTGTGCCGTCATCACCACCATCCATTTCAGAACACCGTCTTCCAGTACTCGTTGTTAACTTCCCCTTCCCTTGCATCCTTCCCTCCCCTGCCATGCCCCGAGACGATTGTCGATCCAGTGACCGTCTCTCCAGATCTCCCTAGCTTTGATTTCATATGCAGAAAATCACCCAAAGCACAAACAAGAAGCAAACAAAAGCCCAACAACAGTGACTAGACAAAGCATAGAAAAGCCTCAGTTGAAAAGAAAGCAGAAATATCAAAAACTGACACAACTTTAAAATGAGTCCAAAAGGAGAACAAATAATAGGTATTACATTTTACAGACGAACCGCATGTACCATAATCTCCTGTACGATGCTCTCTCTCAGGTCGCAAGTTTGGTCAAGTCCCTTCAGTGTATCCACAGGGATTCACCAAAGGCTTAAAATCCTTGGGTGGGGGGGGTGGGTGCTGCAAATGAATTTCGGCTTCCACTGACATCCATAACCTTCTGCAAACCTTCTGTTCAAAATTTAAGCTCTGATACTACCATTCCCTCCTTCAGTTTTGGATTGAATGATTTACAATTCTTGAATCACACAGGCGGATGTACTTCTTCCACATGGACTTACTTAAGTGGCTGCTGATTTTAAGACAAGCCTTTAAGACCCCAGATGCTGTTCACTCCGATTGCCGAGTGCCACCTGGCTTCTCCCTCACACTTTTCAATGGCACCTGTGTCCTCAGTGATTTTTTTAATGAGAGAATTTACTGAGTAGGGCATGACATAAGAACTAACTGTTCTTAGATTGGGTCTTGAATTGTGTGACCCCAAATCCATTTTTATATCTGTGATTTTTATATATCTGATTCACTTTAGCGACATCGTTATCATTTTATGATTGAGAACATTGTAAATCATCCCTGGAGGCAAAAAGTAATTCTTTTGATAATTAATGTATACAATGGTATAGGATTTAAAACTCAGTCAAGAAAAAGAAATTATACCAGTATCGGCTGGCTCAGACCGCAGTGCATGAATTGTTGACTTGTACAGATAGGAACTCTGAAGTGACTGACACGATTTACACAGCAGTGGGGGCGGTGACAGGGTAGAGCTTTCTGTAACACTCATTCACTAAGGCAGAACCATGCCTCCCAGGCTAGCATGTGTTCTAAGAAAGCAGAGGCCATTAAAATAGTCCATAGGTGGGAGTCTCGGGCCTCCATTCACTGAGCACCCTCAAAGCAAGAGATCTGAACCGAAGTCCAGTGCTGCCAATGCCACCCCCTTGGGATAGCAGTCATCTGCTTGTTCTTAGGCTAGAGTGTGTTAGCCTCACGTCCAAGGCAGTCTGTTGGTTTCTTAAATCTGCTGCAGGTGAGTTTGAGTTAAAGCACAGTTCAATTAATGGGGTTTCCACATTGAATCTCTCTGAAGGATGTGTGCGTCTGGAAAGGACATTCTGAAGTCCTGGTAGTCCATAGCACACGGCTTGGGCCACCAAGGGCTGGGGAGAGCCTGGGTCAACAGTCTCCAGTTAGGAACATAGCACTGGGCATTGTCTCTCTGCAGGTCCTGTATAAATATTGTTAAGCTATTTTTCCCAGTGGGAGGCTGCTCTATCTGGCTTCCCCACCAAGAAAATGCCAATGTAATGGCCTTTTCTGAGCTACACATGCTCCCCTCCCTGCATCTTGACTTCAGTTTCCATAAGGTTCCTTGACCATTCTTGATTTGGGGCAACATCGGGCAGTGTTGTGTGGCAGCAACTAAATGCTCGCTCATCTCCTTCCAGGCCCCTCAGCCCACCTTGAAAGACTGGCTCCAGCGGAGGTGAGGGCCCTCCGTTGCCGTGGTTTTCATGGTGTACATGTAAAGGGGCGGTAGATGGTTCACGGGAACTAAGCTCTGGAATCTGTGACTCTTGTGAGTTCACTTCACGGTGCTCATAGTGACTAGAGATATGTGTGTAGGTTCTCCGCCTCGGCATGGGTTTCTTATTCCTTTTTTATCTAGAGGTTTGGGTTTGGGGGACGGTTGTCCAAAGTCTGTGCTTGATTCTCTAAGAAGATGGGCTTTTGAGCCGGGAGCGTTAGTTTGGCTGATACAATGGGTTGAGTACCAGCCCAATCAAAAAGGTGTGTGTGTGTGTGTGTGTGTGTGTGTGTGTGTGTGTGTGTACATACAGGGCTGTGCATGCCATTCCTCAAGTCATTGATACTTATGGACTCAAGTATCTATTTTGACTAGAGTTTGTCGACTTCTGCCGGGTGACCGTGTGGGGCAATTTTCAATTTAATCTATTTGTTTCCCAGATCTTTGGATTAGCATATCTGTCGTGCAGTCCAGAGTAATCGCTCTGGCTTGCAGTACAGGAAATGAAATCAGGAGTTGAGTCAGGGGAACAGAAAGGCATTCATAAACTCCACTGCAGGGAAGAATTTCCGGTTGCCATGGTTTTGCTGTTGCCAACTTGGAAACGGCATGCAAGAGAACGATTACAGCCCAGAAATAGCCGAGCGTCTGAACATTATCTTAATGCTACATTCTGCTTGCATCTGCATCAGATGTTTAAATCTCAATATGCCCATAAACATTCTTTTCCCCCCAGACGTTCGGATTGCATGCTTAGACAATCCATTCATGCTGTCCAGTTTTGTGTTGCAGGGGCTTCCGTCAGCACAAAGGGCTTTTGAAGGGGTTTGGAAATGGCATGTAGTAAACACTTCCTTTGGCCCCAGAAATGAGTGGTCTGGTGGGGAGGTGGGGAAGCTGTGCAGTCTTTGTGTAGTGGCACACTGGCAGCCAGCACCTCTTGATGACCAAGCACCACATGAGAGATGTCTAGCAAGGTTAAGGCTAGCCAGTGCAGTGTCAGGGAAGGCAGTGGAATAAGCAAACTAGGCACTGCCTGGCACTCAGCCCCATCCCCCCACATCACGGCAAAGGCGAGACGGGGATGAGCCTGCATTCCCAAACTGCCTCTCAACCGTGCAGCTTCCGAGTGATGCCGTGTCAGGACGGGTCCCTTCTCAGGCAGCGTCTCTCATTGCAGTCTCTTTGTAACCTTTTAAGGCACATCTTCTCAGAAGGATTCGGTTTCTTCTCCATCCTTTCAGAGTGTCAAATTTTCCTGGGCGAATGAAAAGCAAGAAGGCATTTCTTCTATAAAGCCCTGAGAAAATCACTGTGGAAACCTCTCTCTCTGACCCCAGCCCTTCGAGGGGCCCTGCACCTCACCAGTTAAACAGCTATGAAATGGTGGCAGGGTGCAGCGGTAGCTAAGGAGCACCCTCTTCACACACCCAGCCGCCTCTTGCTGAGCGTGGGAATGCACCGACAGGAGAGGCTGCTCGGTGCACTGTGGTAGAATCTTACTCCAGTTCGTCCAAGTGCGTTTTTTGTGTCAAAACACTTTTGTCTCCATAAGCTCTTTTGAAAAGAAAACTTTCCAGAACAAGTGTTCCCAAAGCATCGTTTCCTCTCCTTGTGGCGCTGTAAATGCCACTTGGATCTGTGGTGTTTCATTCTCACCAGATTAAAATTTGACTTGCCGCTTCTTCCTTCTTACTCTTTCTGGCTCCCTTTCCTTGTGAGTCCCTGTTACCCCAGTGGAGATCAGATTCTCCAGCCCTGTTATTTCATTTTCAAACTACCGTATCTTTTTGTCTGAACTCTGAATAGGGCTTCACGTCTCCAGCTTCAAAACTCACTGCCACCGAGTTGAGGCCAATGCATAGCAACCCCACAGAACAGGGTAGAACTGCCCCCTATGATTTCCAAGACTGTAACTGTTAATAATAGAAATCTCTGTCGTTCTTCCAAGGAGCAGCGGGCACTTTAAAGCCACTGACCTTGCAGATCACAGCCTGACACTTAACCGCCATGCATCGGGACTGTGTAGTGTTTGGGGTTTTTTGTTTTGTTTTTTTAACCCCCCTCTTCCTTAGTGTTCTATTTTGCTGTTAATCCAATGAGACGTCCGTTTCAGTGTTGCCAGTTTCAGAACCAGAAGTTGTATTTAGTTCTATCTTCTCCTTAGCTTCATATTGTCCTTTAATTCCTTGAGCACATTTAATAATATCTTCTTCAAAGTCTTCATTGGGTCTTTTTTTAACTTAGTAGCTCCTGCTTTTGGTATAGATGACTGCTTCTGTACATATCTGATTATTTGTTACTGGATATTGGATATTATTAATGTTTCATCATTGTGTGTCATGGTTTTTGTTTTCTTTAAATAGTGTTGTCTTTAGAGTGTTGAGTTATGTCTTGGCAGGCAGTTAAGCATTGAACAGCTTGATCCTTAAGAATCTCATTTTAAAACTTTATTAAGACCTATCTAGATTAGATCATTTCTTCGAAATTTAGACCTATTACAAAAACCTGACTTTTTTTTCTCTTTAAATCGGAATATACCTGCATATTCAACAAAGTTCTCTGCACCATTTGGTCAGTCTCTATTGTCTTATAACTTTGTGAATTGCGAACATTGTTCAGTTTATAATTCCCTGATAATGTTTCCTTCCCTGAGAGTTGCTCTTGGCTCAGCCTTCGGCATCTCCCTCTGCATGAATGGGGAAGTCTCCAGCCTAAGACTCAAAGGAGTC